AATCAACATAAGAACAACTTAGTTACCTGCAAGAATTGAACGGGCTGAGGAATTCCAAGTTTTTGCAGAACGTCATAGCTGATAAAAGAATTCTAAAGCACACAAATGCAGCACAACATGAATGGAGCAGTTCAGTAAACAAGTACATTCAAACAAAGCCTATAAAGACAGTTATCTAGCTCAAACCAATGGATCATATGCTATTATTACTAGGTGAAATGTTTGGCATCTTAAGCAAAAGAGAAAAACGATAGAAGAGAGAGTTCATACTTGTGAAAAGAATGAATCCACAGATTCCTTTTGAGCAACAGCAAATACCTATCATGTGACATAAAAACACAATAAACAACTTCAAATAATTAATATGGGAACTAAGTTAATGGCATCAATGCATATGCCACAACAGTTGACTACTAGTACTGCCACTGCCCCCTATAGACACTAACAGTAAAAGGATTATAGAGTTATAAATTAGAGGTGGAGTATAGCAAAAGAATTTGGAAATTATCCCAATTTTTGTCAATCAAACAATTAAACAATAATGTGTAACAAGAAGTGAACAGCTCCAAATGCCTAAATCAAATATGAAAACCATAAAATTCAGGCATCAATTAAAGAAATATCCAATCTATGTCAAATCATGTCACTCACAGCTGGTGTCCAATGCACTCCAGCACGTACAGACCCTGAAATTTCAGCCACACCACTGGCTCCATCCATTTCTTGCAGTAAATTCTGCAACGAGCTCCATAACACTGTCAAATTTGTCGGAACTGTAATGCCCCTAGCAGCACCTCGAACCATGGCACTAACACGAGCAACATAGGCAGGAGTATACAACTGCCCACCTTCAAGCCTTCCTTTAACCTATTCTCAAAACAATCATTTATCAAATCACAATTTCCACTTACCACTCCAAAAACATACCAAAACCAACACAAAACAAAACAAACAAACAAACAAACAAAACAAACAAACAAACAAAACTCACTATAGTTCCAAGACGCGGCTCCAACACAGACGCAATCAAATCCAAACCAACATTCAATTGCGCAGCAAGTTCCGTCAAAGCAATCTGACTACATTCTTGAAGCCTCTCGTTAATCTCTTCCGCAATCGAATCCCAGTAAGATTCCGTAACGATTTCCCCTTGAGTCAACATCAATTCCCCGTGATCAGTTATAATACTCTGAGCCAATTTCTCAACATAGTACAAGTCAACTCCAGTAACATCAGCAAGATCAATCACAGAAATTCGCCCTAATCTCTTCACCTTAGTCACCATCTCATTTCTCAGTTGATCCTATCGACCGTATAAACAAACACTTGATTAAGATCAATTATAACACAATGAATTAGGTTAAAAGCAAGAAAATACAATCGATTATTAAGAATCAAATCCGTTAAACCTAATTGCTAAAAATAATAAAAGACGAAGCAAAGAGCGTACGAGAAGCTCGAAATCGATGACTTGAAGTTGCTGCAATTTCTGGACTAATTCAACGACGTTTCGATCGGGTAATCAAATACTGGACTTCGCTTGTTGAGCGAACTCGAACTGTCTCTGCAACTCAAGCAATTCGTCGTCCATGTTTCGATCTTCACGGAAGCGGTGAAATTTGCAATGCCTTTAACTTTTGATCTTTCGCGATTTCTAATACTGTTGCGTGTTTTGATGATCCCTGAAAATGATGCGTCGTTCTTCAGTTTTTGGGACTATAGTGAAATAGCGAAGCGTTTTTCAGCCGTTTCTTCGCCCTTGATTGTTTCTTGCTCAATAAACAGTTAAATTTCTGAAAAGTATGTCATTTTTTTTATTTTTTTATTAAAATTGGTTTTTTATACATTTTTTAACCATGTTTTACCTTGTTGATATAACTTGTTGAAAAGATATTTTTGTAGAAAACAACGTTAAATCAAAAATTATTAGTTTTTTTACTTTTAAAAATATCTTTCACAAAAATATATTTGATTTTTATGTTAAAATTTATAACAAGAAACCACACACGCACACATTCTTTCAAGTATGAGTAGTGTAAGGGTGAAGTATTTTCATAAGATATATCAAGAAAATAGACATGTATTTGACTTTTTAAACATGACTTGGGTAAGGGTGAAGTGTTTTCAGCGAAGTGATTTCATAAGGCATATTAATAAATCAATGTACACGACGCCCCAAGCATGAGCCATGTAAGGGTGGAGTGTTTTCATAAAGTATGTCAAGAAACTTAACATGTACACGGTCTCCCAAAGATGAGTTGTATAATTGGAAAGGGCTTTCATAAGTATATCAAGAAATCAAGCATATTGTTGGCTGAAGATTTTGATAATATTATTAGAAGCCAGGTGAATTGGACGTTTCGATCGAAATGAAACAAAACGTCACGTTTCGAAATAGCAGAAGCAGTGTTTCGAATGAGCATATCAAAGCTTGGAGCTTCGAGTGGCAATTATGAGAATATATCCAAAGAAGTCTCGAAATGACAGCAAGGTTGTGTCTAAGAAGTGCGTTCGAAGCGGAGAAGTGCCAAAACATTTGAAATTCAAATGCAAGCGGGATATTCGAAGTTTAAAATTTATGTGCTGGAGCATTTGAAGACACGTGGAAACAAGAGAGAGGCATTGTTCTGCATGTTCTGAACGTGGCAGAATCTTATAGCAGGACCGTTATGGTCGAAGTAGTATAAATAGAAGTCTTAGTATTAGGATTTCGTGTGTCATATCTATTTGTACAAAAAACTCAGTAAACATTCAAATTACCACATGGCTAGGAAAACAAATGCAAGAGCAATGTACGTATGATAGCACCACATATTTATGATTTAATGAAAACCTTTTATCATTCCCAGTACTTTCCTTTATCTTTCTGCCAAATACCATTTACAAGTTTTCTCATTTAAAGTCTTTTTATTCGAAATCTTTTCATTGATGCCTTACATTTAAATGTTTTCTTTCCATTTCAAACACTTTACATTTCAGAAAACTGTCATACTTTTCATGCCTTTATCTTCAAGTTTTTATCCTTCGAACACCTATTTTTACTTAAAGTCATTTTACAGATTTCTTGCATTAAACGCTTTCTTCATATTTTGAATCTCTTACATTAACTGTTTTGTTTTTATAATTCGAAGTCATTTACTTGTCTTTTATGCAATTTTACATGTCTTTACAATTAACATTTATTCATGCAATTTAGTTTCGCGCACATATATTTTGATTACACCTTTAGATCTTTAAGAGAGAAATCGAAATAAGTCAAACACCTACACAATATTCTAAATACCAACCATGAATACCTGTTCGATCATGAGAGTTACCCTAATGACCAACACGTCCTAGGATCAATCTAGTCGATCCTGCGAGTTACCAGAGAAATTGAATAATAGTCAGTAAGTTTATTCGATAGTTTGGAGGACTAGCGGTTGTTTACCAGAAATCACTGGAAACAAATTGGCACATCCGGTGGGACAAATCGTTGGACATTAGAAATAAAGATTGTTGAGACATAACCATTATAAAAACGTTGGAACCTAAGAAGTTTGCTGTTTTATGAACCTAAGAAGTGGTAAAATAACCAACAGCAACCAACCCTTATCCAGAAGAAAACGTTTGAACAAGATGTCTAATTCTGACAATCAACAAGGGGAACAAAATGCCCCACATACAACAGGCACTAATGTATCCGCTTCGATGGGAACATCTAATGTGATCCCTTCGAATGCACAGTCTGTTGCATCTTCAACCAGTAATATAGCCACTAATGGAATAAGTGGTATATGAACTAATAGTTCGATCTTAGGAAATACTGGAACCATTGGTTATCCTGGGGGATTTGTTCCACCATCAGGGACACAAACCCATTTCGCCACTCCACTAACTAGACCACCCGGTTTCGATGGCAATAGAACCAGAAATTCCTCTTACGGAATGCCAACATCTTTATGGCAGGTTTACACAATTCCACATCGAATTCATCACCACAATTAGGGTCTGGGTCTGGGGCGAATCAGTTTATGACAAATAACCAAGGGTCAGTGGGTTATAGCACAATGCCTATTTTAACCACAGAAAACCAGTTGGCCTTTAGGCAATTGATGGATGACAGTAACCATAATATGATAGGGGTATTAGCATAAACTATGCAGGAAATATTTGCTCCAATAGTACAAAATGTGACTGTGACAAACAGAGAAAACGCTGATAACATGAGTCGAATAGCAGATTTCTTTGCTCCCCCAGAAAGGCGTAGGCAGAATCAGGCGGGAGTTCGAGCAAACATACCTGTTATGGAACGAATTACTAACGACCCAAACAATAGACCACCTAGAGAAGAAGTTAACTTGGGGGCAAGGGCACAAAGGCTAGAAGCTCCAATGATCCCAGGCCCACAAAGAGAAATTATGGAACCAGGGGCAAGAGTCGAAAGGCTGGAAGTCCCAGAGTTTCGAGAAGAACAACCTAGGGGGGTTGTCATGGTAGGTCGAAATCAAGATACTGATGCTGTCGTTCATAGAATTCGAAACGATAACATCTTGGCAGAAAACAATCTAACCACCATGATAGAGAGAGTCATGGCCCAGAATGGCCTCAACACAGGAATGAGAAGGCCAAATTATGCTTCTCCTATATTAGATTGCATAATGCACACTGATTTGCCAAGGGGATATAAAGTCCCTAAATTTACAAAGTTCGCTGGGGATACCAATGAGTCAACAGTCGAACACATAGCCAGATATCTAACTGAAGCGGGGGATATAGCCAATAATGAAGATCTCAGGATCAAATACTTCCCAAGTTCCCTGACAAAAAACGCCTTCACGTGGTTTACCACTTTGCCTCCTGGGTCCATTGATACTTGGGCTCTTTTGGAGAGATTATTCCATGAACAGTTTTACATGGGACAGTCGAAAATAAGCTTGAAGGAATTAGCCAGTGTCAAGAGAAAGTTCACTGAACCCATAGATGATTATCTGAATAGATTTAGGCTTTTGAAATCCAGATGTTACACAGTAGTGCCTGAACATGAGTTAGTCGAAATGGCCGCTGGTGGCTTGGATTACTTTATTCGAAAGAAACTAGACACTCAATATTTGAGGGACATGGCTCAGTTAGCCGATAGGGTTCGACAGGTCGAAAGGCTAAAGGCCGAAAAGGCCAGAGTCTTTAAGAATAACAAGAAGGAGAGGATCTCCTATGTTGGAACTGAGGAAGCAGAAAATTATCCTGAATTCGAATTCGAAGAGGTCGAAATCGACCTCGCTGAATTGAAATAGGCACCACCTTACTCCTGCAAATTATTGGTTCCCACAAAAGGGAAAGAGATTGTTGAAAATGAGAAAAGTGACAAATTCCCAAAGAAGGTTTATACCTTCGATGTCACTAAATGTGACGAGATTTTTGATTTACTTGTCAAAGATGGCCAACTCATTGTGCCATCAAATGTCAAAATACCTCCTTTAGATCAAAGAAAGAAGAGAGGATTTTGCAAATATCATAGTTTCCTAGGCCACAAAACCTCACAGTGTTTTCTTTTCAGGGACCTAATTCAGAATGCAATCAAAGATGGCAGACTGAAGTTTGCTGATAAGGCAAAGATGAAAGTGGACGAAGATCCCTTGGACGTCGCAGACACCAACTACTCCGAGCCTGCATGCATTGGAGAGATTAACATGGTGGAAGCTGACCAAAGTGATGTCCCAACAAGAGAGAAAGGTACTGAAAATGAAAGCTGGGTGATGGTCGAAGTCGATAAGGAGGTCACTGAAGACGTCCAGAAGCTACCAGAGACTTCGATTGAAGCAGCACCTGTAGCTGTTGCAAAAGAAACCCAGGCTACTGAAGGCCAGGAAAATCAAAGCCAAGAACTAACACAGGTCACTGAAGGCCTGAGGCTGGAATTGGAGAAAATCCAAATCACGAAGCCAACTTCCCCTCAGAAGGAAATATGGGACACTCTAGGGGAACCCAGTGGAAAATTTGACTATTTGGTCAAATATTCTTCCCCAGAGAGTTCGAAGGTCCACATTGAAGATATAAAACCCACAGGATGGGGAAATGATGAAGCTGAAGGGGAGGATGTTGAGGTAAACATGGTGGACATGGAAAGACCTCACTCTGAGATGGAGGAGGTAGAAAAATACTTAGAAAAAGAGAAGTATAAAATGGAGGATAATCACGCTGGAGATGCTAGTCTTAAGGATTACCTCATGACATGCCACAAAGGAGATACAGGCATGATACTGTGCCCTAGGTGCAGCATCCTCTGCAATCAGAGAATCGCTGCGAATTTCGAGAGGGTACAGAGGGCTCGAATTGGCAACAATTGGCGCCAGGATAACCAGCTGTTCAGGTGTTATCCCAAGGCTGGAGAAAGTTTGCTGGAATTTGTGTTTCGTTGCTACAAAGGGGCAACCAAGTGCTTGATATGCCCAAGGTGTTCTGCTGTGTATGACCAAAGCATGGCCAGAGCCTTCGAAACGATTCCCTTCGCCCTTTGCTGGAACCATCAAGAAACTGTGCAGATGGGCCCACGTTTCGATAGCAGACACAAACAACGAAGGCCTGATAGCCCTCACCCCAAGGCTGCTCGAA